GCGCAATGTACAGGGAGAGATGAAGGGAGAAGAAAGACAGGAAAAATGGAGGGCGGGAAGGTGGTGGTGGGAGAGTGGAAGGTATTCGGTGACATGGAGGTGGGTGGATGGCTTGGGGGTGCAGGTGTTTGGCTACACATGTGTTTCGCACCGGCTAACATTTGTGTTTCATGGAGTCACTTTCTGCTCTATGACTGTACAGTGGGATATTTGGCCATGGGCTTCACTGAGCTGAAGGAAACAGCTAACTGAAGCACAAAGGCCGGAAGGTAGAAACAAATATTACCATAAATATTCAATTAAACTAGCCATATACTAATGTAGGTGGTTGATTTCATATTATCAATGCTGGAATGAGCATGTGTAGGTAAGCAGAGATGGTTTGTTGGTTTCTACTCGACACAAATGATGAGAACAGTTTCCAGAGGTTTTGTTATCCCCACAGTGTCTGTGAAGCCCTTCTCTCAGGTGCTACAAAAAATAAAATAAAATAATAATTTCCACATAACATGTGTCCAGCACATATAACATAATATAATAATAGTAACGATAAAGAACAAAAAATAAGAAGAAACACTAGTTGATACAATACAATTTCCTTTTTAAATTTGTCTTTAAATGAGCAAAACCAAAACATGCAACCAGACCTCTATCAAGTTTTTCAGACCAAAATATCAAATGACAAAACAATGTTGTAAAAACACTGTGTGTGAGTGTGTGTGTGTGTGTGTGTGTGTGTGTGTGTGTGTGTGTGTGTGTGTGTGTGTGTGTGTGTGTGTGTGTGTGTGTTAGGATTCTTAATATTTCAAATATGTAAATGAACCAAATAGCAAAATAAAGCATTAATGGTGTTCTTGTTTTAATTAATTTTTTTAAAGCATTTTTTTTATTAATTTCTTTTCAACAATCCAAGCTGATGCATTTAGTCGACCATCAAATATTCCTGTATTATTTTGTTGATGTCATCATACACATGATTTTTTGTATAGGCCTACAGGAATTTGCTTTGGTGTATAATGGTGCACACATGAACCTAAAGAGGACCAATATTTAAAAAAGGAGAACATATTGAACTATATAAAAGCTATTTTATTTTTCCAATAAATAGTCAAATAGGAATAAGACCATTTACGTGCAGCATATCAGAATTTAAAGTAAGATTTGCAGATATAAAACGAAGCCTATCTCAAGTCTAAATCTCTCTCTGTGGATCTCTGGTTGGCACATTGACCTTTAGCTGTGGCCGGACGGAAACAATGCCCTCCCCCCTCCGTTCACCTGAATGGGGCCTGTTGACAAACTTGACAGAAGGAGGGGAAGTTCCGCAGTCAGACACACCTTGATCGATACCTGAGGTGGCCCGCGGCTCAACGGGAGGTCAAGGTGAGCATAAGACGCCCACACCTGAGCAGCGATGGATTGTATTGGAACAACAAATTATAATAAAATAGAAATAATGAGTAAAATAGAAAGAGAAATAGAAATGCTAAAAATAAAATAAAAAAAGGAGGGATGCCATGCAGGGGTAGATTCGAGGCCGGCTGCCGGAGCCTCTCCCCCGGCCGGAGGAGTCTCGGGGCTACGGGCTCTTAGTGTCCGGTTTGGTGATGTATGAGAACTTTTTGGAGGAAACAGAGAACAGCAATATTGCCTGCAGCAGGGAGGGAGTGCAAGTGTCACACAATCAATGCAGCACAACAAATTACATTGTAAATGTGGCAGGAAAAACCTTTTTAAAGCACAAAGAGCTTTTTACCGGAGCATATATTATTCGTTTTTGTCCATTAACTTTCACATTTGAAAGCAACAATAAATGTAGAATGTGAACTGGTTTAATGCTTAATATATTGAAATGAACCTTTCTGTTTTAATCATGAAGTATTTGATTTATTTAGTGTAGAAATAAGGATAGCTTTATATGAGTGCAGGCCTTTGGTCAGATCCTTTTTTTTTATTTAGTTGAATCCGTTTTGGAGTCAGACTGCAATTCATTTACGAAAGTGAAGGACATTTATTCATCGGGCCATCCATTCTTCAGCCGAATCATTCAGAACCCTTTCTGATAAGACAGTGTTCCCGCGTGCCAAGACATTTATCTCTGCTTCCATTACGCAGAGCCCCTTCTGCCAGGATCTTTTTTTACTTTTATTTGATTCCTCTTTTGGATGATTACAACTTTACTTTTAATTTAATATTGTGTGGTTGGATGGAAAGCTTTGGAATTTTGTTGTACTTTTATTTTGAATAACACTTTTATTTTAAACGAAATTCAATAGATACAAAAAGAGATTCAACAGGCAACATAATAATATCTTATTAGCCTATAATTAATACTATTTCACAAAATGAGCCTTGAATCTTGAATCTTTTGTGCATTTTTACGTACATTCGTTATTGTTACAAGTTAAGTGTGCGAAAAGGTAATAATCCAATGTGTATTACACCAAATGAGTTCTAAATAAGAAAAATATGTCTTTATTTATTTATTTTTAATATATATTTAGCCGTTTTCCATTTAAAGCTGCAGTAACATTATTTAAAAGGTGACTTTAATTCACTTCAAAAAGGAATTTCTTTGTTTGTGATCGTCACTCTTCCTTGTGGGAAGTGTCAGAAAATTATAACTTCATCTCACAGATCTCCCCCCCAGCAGTGAGGGGGGTCAATGTACAGATGGATGGAAATATTCCTGCATGGCCTTGACAGGGGGTTTATGAAAGCAATAAGAGTCTATCGACGGAGTGAGCGCGCGCCTCCAGAGAGCCGCTGTCTTCTATATCTACCCTGTAGATCCGGATTTGTGTAAAAATCATTGAAACAATCACAAATTCGCTTCTAGGGGAGTATATAGTGGATTTAAACACGACGGCAGCGATGGATCCAGCACGAGGAAGAGAGCTGCTATCATACGGATCGCTGCTTCATATTAGAATATCCCAATCACTTTTCAGCAAATATATTCGTATTTATATGACGAGTTTATTGGCGATTATTTGATTTTGAAGCGACTGTTATTGTGTGTCTGTTCTGCCCCAGAGTGATGAAAACTCCCAAGTTTTGTCCATGTTATTTGTTTCGGTCATCAAACAGTCGTGCAGTTTTAAAGGCCAATTCCTGGTTGAATTGGACTCTTTTTATTTTTTATTTGTCCTGTTGAAAAATGATGCGCTCGACTGTAGCCTACTGGTCATCTAGGAAGCAGGCGAGGTGTGTGTGTGTGTGTGTGTGTGTGTGTGTGTGTGTGTGTGTGTGTGTGTGTGTGTGTGTGTGTGTGTGTGTGTGTGTGTGTGTGTGTGTGTGTGAATATAACATAATGTATATTCTATTTACTGCAGTATTTCTTGTTTTTTTAGCCCATTTTATGTATCATTGTTTTGGGTTTGTTTTCTCTTTAAAAAAAATGGATGTAGGCCCTTAAAATGGTCAAAAGGCTGTAGGCTATATAGCCTATACATATATGTATGTACAACTGAAGTGTAGTTTTGCAATGGAAATCTAAAGTCCCCGGCTCTTCCCACTATGCCACATATGACATATTTGAAATAAAAGGAAAATGCATGCAGTAAAATAGTTCAATGGACCAGATGGTCGTTGCATGAAAAAGAAAAATGTGATCATATATAAGATATAACAGAATGTACCATTGCATACTGTACAGTAGAATAAATACTGTCCCTGTGTAGTACCCGGTTATGCGTCATGGTCTGGGAGATTAATTTCATTTTGGAGGAAAAACAACGACTTGTATCTCTAAAGGGCAAATGCCGGCGCTTATTGTGAATGTGTAATATGGACTTGCCATGCCTGTGATGTTAATACCGTCCCTGTTTATTCATGCACGGTAAAAGGCGACTGGATTACTATGCAAGGGGAGTTTGAAAAGTGAAATGTGCGCGTGTAGGAGGACCGCTGCTTTCGAGCCGTTGCTGGATTCCTAATGCAGAGGTCTGCTGGTGATTTAGAAGGCCGTGTAACCTGAATTAGTTGATGAATTTTCTATCGATCCTAAACAAGCCAGATTTATCTCTGACACCGTGCTGCTGCTGCTGCTGCTGGGTGGCGGCGCGGGGCCACTCTCACACTCCCCGTTATTAGGGATTTAAAAGAAGAAGAAAAAATAGAAAGCTTTGGCGAGCACACACACCCAAATATATACACAGAGGGTGGTGCAGGCGCCACTTTAATTCCCCCCGAGCACTTTTCTCGCTGCTTCTTTTTTTTCTTTTTGAAATTGCAGCCAGACGCATAACAGGGGAAGGTTTGCATAAGGGAGGACTTGTCATACTGTTGCTCGTGGGTGTCCTTGCGTGCGCGGATTTTGTCAAACGCGCTTTGTTTTTGTTGTGATTCTGGTGCGCTCCGATTTGTGGCGGAGGGATACACAGAGAGAGAGAGGGCCCGGGGAGGGAGAGTTTTGTAAAGACTGCGAATGCCCATAAATTGAGGCCATATGATGATGCGCGTGCGGGGGCCCGTGTATATGCTTAATCCCATTTCCTTATCCGGGTCCGTCCCGGAGGCGCGCCATTGGCCGAGTGCCGTCACGTGGCTTCTTAACTTTGTTCACTTGACAGAAAAGTAGGAGGGTTCAACGGAACAGGAATAACCGAAGAGTAAAGGGATGAGATATAAATTGTAGTTATATATTTTCCGAGTAGGTGCAATTCCACAAAAAGACTGACATTAATGGCCATGAGCTCCTATTTGATCAACTCCAACTATGTGGACCCGAAGTTCCCACCCTGCGAGGAATACTCTCAGAGCGACTATCTGCCCAACCACTCTCCGGACTATTACAGCTCCCAGAGGCAGGATCCCGCTGCCTTCCAGCCGGACTCCCTGTACCACCCACAGCCCCCCCAGAACCACCACCAGCCGCGAGTGGAGCCGCCGTACACGCAATGCCATCGCCCGGGACAGCCCGCCTCGGTGGTGATGTCTCCCCGGGGTCACGTCCTCCCCTCAACCGGACTACACCCCACTCCTGTCCCGGAGCTCAGCCACCGCTGCGACTCGGTGACACCCAGCCCGCCTCCGCCCGCGTCTTCTTGCGGCCAAACGCCCAACAGCCACAGCACTTCGTCCCCTACTAGCACTCGGAAGGACCCCGTCGTGTACCCGTGGATGAAAAAAGTCCATGTAAACATCGGTAAGTGCAAACTTCTCTCCCTCTCTCCCCCCTCTCTCTCTCCCCTCGCTGCTGCTTTGTGCAGTCAGCTAGGTGTCCACGGTCACAATCTACGGATTCCCCTCTCACCGTTTCTCAGAAGTACAAGAGTAGCCCTTGGGTCGAGATTTACGGTCGTCTGTTTGCAGGGCCAATATAATTACACCCTCCATAAATTTTTATTACACCTCTCCGCTGAGGTGCCTTTTGAAGTCCGATCTCAGGCTCTAATTCCTCGCCTTATGACAACTCAGAGCGAGCCCATAAGTTAGCTTTTATGCTTTGGTAATTTGATTTTAAGTGGCCTGGTTGTATAAACGGTGTACTTTACTCTGTCGAGCCCTTCTTCCCCACTCGTTGTTCCAGGGGAGGGAAAGTTTTATGGCAGCTGAAATATTCATGTTTATGGAGCCGGCCGTAAAACACTAATGTAAAAGCGAAGAGCTGCAGCCTGTTCTGGCTCTCGGTGAGCTTCTAATAGACTCGCTGCCTATTGCTTGTTGGGAGAACCGGAGCACGCGTTCGCGGGGCGACAAAACGTTTATAAGGCACCGTGATGCGTTCACTGCACCCGGCTGTATATACTCGGTAAGAAAAAAAACAATTTCTTGCATTTTAACCTTGGCGGTTAGCTGCCATGTGTTAGACATCGGATTCCATTGCAAAGGTGTTTGCTTTGTGTTAGGCGTATTGCTTGAAGCACTTGGTGATTTGAGCCCCCCCCCCCCCTCGCCCCGCCTCCGCCCCCCCCCCGGAAACACCTTCATTTTCAAGGCTGATTTGACGTAAGGCCTATTTAGATTTCTACGGGATTTTTTGGCACGAATGTGTCAAAACTGCAAGAAAATAAATATGAGCTTTCGGAAATGCGTCCCTGCATGGGAACTCCATTTTCGAATCACAACATTTGGACAGCGTCAGGATTCACACCGCCGCAGGGCCTTCACTGACACCTGACAACATGTTCACTGCGAAGGCAGTCAACAATCTTAAAATCGGCTGGAACAGCTGCATGTATTTGTGGTAGGGTTAATGAGGACTGCTATCATTACAGATGATGTCAGGTTGCAGCCTTTTTATTCTGCAGTGTGTTCCTCCTCCATGCTGCATTTTTATTTCTTCATGTGGCTTTATCTGCTGTTTTTTTAATTACCATCTGGCTACTGTGTCGCTTCCTGTTTACTGACCCAGATATAATATAAAATATAAGCGGATAAAAAACAATAGTATTCAGCGCAAGCCAATATTGTGCTGACAAACCCTGTCTTTGTCTTTTAATTCACATTATAATGCCGCACTGTGGAAAACATGGCTTTAGCTCAGCTTAATAATTGCTTTACTGAATGTTGTTGTTGTTATTGTTGTTATTATTATATATATTTTAATTATTATTATGCCATAATTTGGATGTGATTGCATGGTGTTTTTATTCTCAATACAATAATATTGTGACGCTCTTGAATTCCCACAGTGAACGCGAACTACTTAGGGGGGGAGCTGAAACGCTCGCGGACGGCCTACACGCGCCAGCAGGTCTTGGAGCTCGAGAAGGAGTTCCACTTCAACCGGTACCTGACGCGCAGGCGCAGGGTGGAGATCGCGCACACGCTGTGCCTCTCGGAGCGGCAGATCAAGATCTGGTTCCAGAACCGGAGGATGAAATGGAAGAAGGACCACAAGCTGCCCAACACCAAGGTCCGCTCTGGGGCCAGCAGCAACACAAACTCCCAGGCTCTGACCGGATCCTAGAGCCGCCCCGGGCCCCTGCAGCCCCGTTCTGTGGCCCGGTGTCAGATTTTTTGTTCCCAAACTGAACGCCGCAGCGGCACCGGAGCCTGCACTTTTGACCGGAATAACGCCCGTGCTCTGGAAGTGGAGAGGGATGTCATTGCCCCATGATGTTACACACTATAATATGACGTTATGATGTGGGAGGGGTGGGGGGAGTGTTCCCATTCACAAAACATGAAATGAACAAAAGTACGCGAAGGAACAAACTGAGAAAATGACGCGGCCACTTCTTTGCTTTTATTCTGTCTGCCCCCACCCCCTGCTTTTTTGTATGTCTATCTTCTTATTTTTGTTAACTCCTCTCTCTCTTCCTCTCACGATAGGCTCAGGATAACGTGCCCCCGTGCGTGTGGTTTATTTTTATTTTCTCAACCCGAGATTTTTTTTTCTTCTTTTTTGGTGAAGATGGATCCTCGTTTTCATCTTTAATCATGCCAAACTCGGGCCCCATTTGTCATGTTTACTCTGCGGGTACAAAGCAAAGGGGTGAACTGCGGCTCTGCCCATTACCCCCCCTTGCACCCCCCCCATCTCCCCCACACAACCACTACCCCCTCACCCACGCCACGCGTGATTAAATGGAACTCACGTTTCGTCAAGAGAAGTATTCTTACACACACACACACACACACACACACACACACACACACACACACACACACACACACACACACACACACACACACACACACACACACACACACATGTACCTACTCTAACATAAAATATTACCTCCGGTATGATCCAATCTGACAGCAGGAAGTTTTCAGTCTTGCTGCTATAATTATTTTTGTTTTGTTGAATGAGAACAATAGCTTTTCAAATTTCTCTTCTAGTTATTTTTGAATTCAGAGTTGATTGTAAATGATGCTGAGGACGATAAGGAGAGTTCTTGTGGTCCGTTTATTGTTCATGTTGTGATGTAATATACAGGGAATTAAAGTGAAATGAAAACATCTTCCACTACCAATCAAACAGGGGTTATAAAGCTGCCTAAACACTAATATTCAAACCAAAATCCTGGTACAAATAAAACACATTATACACGCAGCACTATAGAATGTACCTATTACCTCAGTTGTACTTATATATTTTTAATGTTTTTCTTGGTCCTCTATTTTCTATTGCTCGTTCAATGAAGTGACAGCTTTACGAGCTTTTTATATATTTTTTAAATGTGTGATTATAATATTAAGACCTGCAATACAAACTATTCATTTCTTGCATGTGGACATGTTTAAAATATAATTTAATTTTAGCCAGGGGAATGAGAAAAATAAGGAGCCTTTTGTTGCATGTCTGAATGGATTTAATTTTATATGTCTTGCTCTTTGTCCTCTCTCCGCACATGTAATGCGCGCACACTTCCTCTTCCCTCTCCCCTTCCTCTGTCTGTCACCTTGTTTTATATATTTTATTCTGCAAGTGTTTCTCAATTGATGTTATTTTATTTACATTCCAAAGATCAGTTTATATATGATGATGATGATGATGCTAACAATTATGCTATTGTTGAACATGTGTTACCTCCTCCGATGTGTCTCTGCTTTTGCCTCCTCAGTGTCTACCTTCCTATTATTTGTAAATAGTTCATAGAAATTTAAATAAATGTCTAAAAATATAATTTCTCTATCCTCCTCTCTTTGTCTCAAAAGTACGAATTGTTTTGCTAACATAAATACACTGAAACATTGACTTTGATTAAATGTTAACAGATTTCACATGGTTGAACCTAATATGTTTTATTTAAACGTATTATTATTGCATTCAACTAACCTAATACAGTTATGCGAAATGGGTTAACATGTCATTAAAGTCACCTTGTTCAGTGTAAAGGTAGTCATGAGGTTTAGGGTTTTAAAGATCGTCAATTTTTATTTGTTGTATTGGGACATTTTCCTTTTCTTTCCTATAGCAGGCTCCAGAAAACATGTATGTCCTCTTCTCTCTCTCTTGCACATTTAACGTGAAGGATGTATTTAAATCATATGCACACACAATAAATAATTTCATTTAATTTCACTGTAGCTTTTGCCCATAACAGGCAGAGACCTGTCTGGAGAAATCAGCAGCGCGCGATGATTAATCTGTCCCGTCCATGAGTGATTTTGGTACATTACGTCCTTTAATCTCGTTTTAAATCACAAACCGTCCCTCCGTTTCACTCCCGTTCTCCCGTTAATTTAACGGCTTGCACCGGCCCGACACAGAGGATAACCCCCCCTCCTCCTCTCCCTTCCTTCCTCTGACTCTAAAGAAGAAGAAAACCTCCTTTAATGCTTTAATGAGTGTAATGTTTTTTTTTTTTTTGCTGTTTTCTGGAGCGGTGCTGGTGCGCACACGTGTGTATTATTTTTTATATATTACAAAAGGGAGCGGGCCTGCGCCATAGCTCAAACCCTGACAAGCAAATAGATAATCAACATGACGAATGGCTTCTTTGGTAAGGTGCGGCTCCCGTATTAATTTTCATTTTCTTTTCTTGGAGCAGGTATCGAAAAATATGGAGCAGGAGAGGGGGGAGAATGAGAAAATAGCATTCCTCTCGATGAACTTTAAACAAAGAAGTGTGCCCCCTAAATTGGTCCGCTCGTATTCCTCGGCCCAGAGAAGATTTCCTATTACTGTTGGCTGATTTCTCCCTGGGCCTCTTGCCACAGAGACTCGCTCTGCCCGTGTATCTGTTGCCTTCCTGTTTATGAGAGGCTGCTCCAGCTCCTCTATCAAACACATAGATGTGCTCGTACAAAGGCGCACACACTGCGCCAAAATGGTCAATCCATGGCCTATATTGGGTTTTTTAACCGTAATTTTCATTGCTTCTTATAGCAGTATTCCCTTTTTTCAATTTCAAAATAATATGTTTATTATTTGCTTCCAAAGGTGCATTGTAATTCCTGTTAAAATATCCATACATGTCCACTTTTCTTCTTCTCATCCTCTTTTTTTATTGACTTGGTTTTTTATGGTTTATAATTGTATTTGGCTCATGGTTCTAAGGTGTAATACTCTCTCCTCCACACACACAAGATTATATTTGTCCCAATTGTCTTATATTGGACAAATAGACCCCCTCCCAATATTCACACGTTTTGTATGTGCCTCCACAATAACCCCTGAAGCCCCTGAGCGCTTCGAGTCCGAGTGGAAATAAATGAATTTGCGTGCTATGTGACACCTTGCACAATCAAGTCCACCGAGGAATCCTCTGTTTTAGCCTCCCTTTATCGGCCGGGCCTTCTGCTGCTCCTGTGAATGGGGAAGCCCACCCCACACCCCTCACCCTTCTGAAAAAGTTCATCGCCATTATTTTTTGGACAGGGCAGAAGGGACGGCACCTCAAGAAAAATGCGAGAATTATACAAGAAACAATCATTAATCACTGGTCCTTCTTTAAACACTTCTTCTCCTTCTTCTTCTTCTTCTTCTCTATTGTCATCCGGCAGCCACACACAAGACCCCTTCTGCCAGGAGAGGGGCAAGGAGCAGAGAGACAGACGAGGAGAAGAAAAAGAAGACGTCTTGGAAACACACCCCTCCCCCCTACTTCCCTCACACACATAAACAGTCACACCTCCCCTTCCCACCCATCAGCTATCTTTTACACCCAACAAGTATCCTACCATAAGAAACAAAGTTTTTTTCTTCCTCGTTCCAGAAGAAGAAGAAGAAGAAGAAGAAGAAGAAGAAGAAGAAGAAGAAGAAGAAGAAGAAGAAGAAGAAGAAGAAGAAGAAGAAGAAGAAGAAGAAGAAGAAGAAGAAGATGGCCTCGAGGTTTCTGAAAGTGGTGCCATCCAAGGTAAGAACCTGACCTATTTTATTCTTCAACTCTCCTGCTCCTGTCTGATGGCTCTGTGGCGTTTTTATGGTTTTATTGCCCCCTGCGCATTTGGTGAGGTCAGGGACTTATGGCCTGTGGGGCTTTGATTTGAGCGCAGGGACTTCTGGAGTTGCGTGTTTGTGTTGGAAGGTGTGCGTCTGTTAGTGTGTGTTTGCATCTATGACAGGCTTGTACTGATTTCTCGTCAGTTTGCACAAATGTTCACGTCCCCCCTTTGCTGCGGGGGTGTCACTTCTGCGTCTGTGTGTCACTAATGATGCATCGAGCATCTGCCGTTGTGTTTTTGTGCATCTCTTACGCCCGGGATTTGGTTGCATTGATGTTTTTAGATTCAACAAGAGGTGTATTTTAATTCATGGGATTTATATAACGCAATTGGGAAGGAAACGTAACACCTAGTTCATATAGCTCCAGTGTGTGACAGAATGTGAATAATTCCTGGTTCAACAGAAGCTTATGCATTTTGTCCTGGCTGCGTTTCTGTGGTTATAAAGTTTTGCTATGGCCTATAGCTTTTAATGAGATACTGTTGCATGCACGCTTCTTAGAGTGTGTGTTGGTGTGTGTGTGTGTGTGTGTGTGTGTGTGTGTGTGTGTGTGTGTGTGTGTGTGTGTGTGTGTGTGTGTGTGTAAGTGTGTGTATGTGTGTTCTTAATTCGTTGGCCAGGTGCTATCAGGCTGTGGAGACTGCAGTGGGAATATGAATAATACCGCGCTCAATTGGAGAGAGGGATGCAGGGGAGGGCGAATAAGAACAATTAAAAGAACAGGGGGAGTTCTGGTTAATGGATACTCTCTCGGTTGCGCTTCAAAACAATTTACCTCGAAAACAAACGATCTGCAAGCCTCTCCAAATGAACTGCAAACGATCGCCAGTTGCAGTGCGCGCGCTCATCTGCTGAGCCGAGCAGCAGCGCGCTCACTGCTGTTTGACCCCTCCAGAAATCAATCTGCCCGGGATTAAAACTAAAGGGCAGCGGTTGTGGTTGGGGGGGTTCTGGCCTCATGGGGTTATAGGATGTGCGCAGAGGTAAGAAAACACACGAGAGAAAGAAGGGTATCGAAGGAAGAGCAGCGAGAGAGGAGGAGAGGAATCGATGTTCGTGCAGGCAGCGGAGTGGCCGCAGAGGGTTCAACCAGGGGACACGCTTTCCTGACCGATGAGGTCCACAGGCTCTGAAGCCAGAGGCTGACCCGTGTTTACCCCCCACCCCCCTCTACACACACACACACACACACACACACACACACACACACACACACACACACACACACACACACACACACACACACACACACACATACGCGCACACGCACACAAATACCCATGCCTTCCCCCTTGACCTCGCGAGGCTGCTGGTCCCATCGTTCCCTCGGACATTCCCAGACCTCCGGAGCGCCCCCTGGCCACTTAGTCATAACAGGCTGAGTTCAGGGCACTGTACCCCGGGGGCACGGCGGCCGTATCTCCGCTCCCACACCCAGACAGACAGACAGAGCCGGGCAGAGGTCAGCCACAGGCCACTGCTGACTGTCAGCTCAATGAGGCTGTGTTGATGACACTGGCTGAAATGCACCATATTATGGTTAACATTATATAATAATGTCTTGTCCTTAAAAAATGTATATGGTTTTGTACATTTTGCATTGAAGCAGCTCTCCAAGTTTTGATTAATCTGTCATTTGAGAGGAGCTTCTGTCTCTCCCTGAAGCCTGGAGCAGTCTAATACAAGCTGTTGGAGACATGCTAACTTTAGGATGTGCTACGAAAGGGTCAGCCAGTCTGATGTTGGATAGTATTTGGACAGACATGAACCTTGGTGTAAACAGAGGCTGCCCTTCCTGATTGCCTTGCTGAAAAGCTGCTGAGGAGCCTTTTTGTCCTGGCTTGTTCCAGCCATGTTTGCACACTGTATTCAGAGGAATGTTGGGTAGAATACAGCCTCCATTTCGACAAACGGATCCAAAGAAACAAATGGAATACAACGATTATCTTTTCACATATTTTGACCAATTCAGTGATTTGTAGATTATTTACTGGCATAATGTTGGGGGCTGCTGGATATTTTCCAGCCTGGTAACCTGACCTGCAGCTGGAAAAATCAGTCAAAGAGAAAATATCTCTTTGACTGATTAATCAAAGAGACAAAGGCATATGGGGAAATGCTGTTGGTCAGTTTGTCTCCACCATGCCATTTAATGGTTCCGATGTATTTAGGATTATCCCTTTCATTTTCAATTTCACATTTCGCAGGGTCTCATCAATGCAACATTATTGCATTTTTTGTGCAATCTTCCCAATGACTTCCCAATCTTGCAGGACTCACAATGGTATGGTTTGAATTGATCCGTAAAGATGTTGCTTTATTTGAGTCAGCATGCCCTCTGAAACAGCTCTGCATCACTCAGCTCCATGTCTTGCTGCTTACTACTATGACTGTAGTCCATTCACATCAAATGGGAGAGCTGCACTATTTACCAACAGCAAGGTCAGAGGTCACATCACTTTAGGGATTATATGATACCTAAGTGTCAGTACTCCAAAATAGAATAGATTTGATTACTTAGCGTAGACTAAGTATGGTTCTATGAATGCTTTTGATTTTATTTAATATTAGCTGAAATGCATTGATTATTTCTAATTGTTGCCGTTATCTTGAAACACTCTTTGTTTTTCAATCCAGCCAAAACACGGTTTAGGTATTGACTACCAAGTTTCAGTACTCAACACGTCAAGGCCATTAACCATCTCCTATACTGAC